GAAGGAGTTTCGAAAGCATCAAAGGATGAAATTGCATTTTACCCTTTTGGTTGGGGCCCTAGATTTTGTCTAGGCCAAAACTTTGCCTTGACTGAAGCAAAGATGGCTCTTACTATGATTCTACAAAATTTCTGGTTTGAGCTTTCACCCTCTTACACGCATGCTCCTTGTAATGTCATAACTCTTCAACCACAACATGGAGCTCCTATTATACTACACCAATTATAAGGTTTATATAGTACTTTAGTATCTTAGGAAGGGAAGCAACTCAGTTGAATGAGTTACAGCAGGTTGTCCCAATGTTTTGTTGCAACCAGGAACAAGTTGGTGCAGTAGAGAGTGTTGTTTCTATGCATAATGTTGCCATCTGCTATTGTATTAAAGTGATTATTCGCTTTTCTTTCTTTTGGTTCTGATGATTGTTCATAGTATGTGCTTATGAAAGCACCACCTAATGAAGAAAGATGCGTATTTCCTTCAATCTTTTATTGTTCTCTGTTGTTTTATGGACCTTCAGTGTTCATAAGTTGCGCGAGGAACTCAGTTTTGGGTGTCCTCTGTTTTTTATGCATCATGTTGCACTCATTTAACCTCTACAAGTTTTATTTGTCTCTAATGTTTTAACCTTTTTTTTAGAATTGATACAAATTAAATCTTTAAACTTGATTTTTTTAATAAAATTTTTAATTGAATTCAAAACCCATTAAAAGTTAAAGTAAATCTTTGATCTTAATTAATTCCTGCAATTAAATCTTATTAAGCTTAAGCTAAATTAACTTTTAAACTTAATTTTTCTTTAATTAAATCTTTAATTAAACCAATTAAAAGTTTCATTAAATTCTTAAATTTAATTAATTTTATTAAATCCTTAAATTTAATTAATTTTTTTAATATTGATCAAGTTGGATTTCAACTTTCATTTTTTTCTTTGAAGTTTTTCTTCAACTCATTATATTAAAATATTATATTTTGGTTATTTTGATTTGTTGTAGCTCGATGACTTCTCGTATCTGAAAAATATTTTTTGATTTTAAATTTTGAATTTTTTTATTTTTGAATAAAAAGATATATTCTTTTTAAAACAATTTTTTTGGGATCCCATATTGAATTATGAGATTATTGTGCAATTTTTACCCTAAAATAAAAAAAATTCAAAATTAAAAAAAATTGAAAATTCAAAACTTTAATCTTAATTATAAAATCTGAAATAGCTTGAAAGGTTTAGTCAAGACTTGACCAACCTGACACATGGACTAGATTGGGTTAAAATAAAAACAAGAGTGAGTTAGTTTTACCATATGAAACATAAAAGTTGACATGTGGTAAAACCTAATTGATGTGATCCTCAATTTATTGATTTTTTTTAAAGAATCAAAACAATATTATTTTAGTTATTTTTGAAAAATTGAATCAATTTAATTTGATGTGGTCCTCAACTTATTAATTTTTTTTATTTTTTTTAGGGATAAAAAATTATTTTAGTTATTTTTTAAAAATTAAATCAATCTAATTTGACCTTTCGAATATATGACTAGAACTTTGCTTCCAATTAAATTTGAAAATTTTGAATTATTATTTTAATAGCATTTAAGAGTGTGGTAACGATAGCTGTTGAAAGTATTTTTTATCTAGAAATATATTAAAATAATTATTTTATTTTAAAAAAATTATTTTTGATATCAAAATAATTTGAAAATTAGAAGAAAAAAATTTGAAGTAACATTTTTTTAATTTTTTTTTAAAACATAAAATTTGTTTCTCATGCATCTTCACTGTTGACTTGAACAGTGAAGGTGCGCAAGGAACTCAATTTTGGACGTAGTCGGAATGGTTGGGTGAGCAGCTCGGGCAAGAGCAAGTGGTGGGCTCATTCTACCGATCACGAAGAGGTCCCTGTCCCTGTACCTGTCCCTGCCATTCGATTTTTCCTGCCGGCCTGCCTCTAGGGGTATGCCGCGTGTTTGTGTGTGAGAGGGGAAGATTCCGCTGACTATTCCATGTGAAAAATATGTTGATCACAAATCAATATAAATCACTAATGTCTTTGTCATATATATATATATTATTTAAAAGATATTTGAAATCGTATCATTCATTAATTTATTAACTAGAAAAACTATAATTACCTCATGCAATTTTTTGTATAAATAGTGAAAAACCTTTTCTTCTTTTTCTTTTTTTAATTTTTAAATCTTTTTTTCGGTTAGACTCTTCAACAATTAAATTTGATGTAATTAGATTCGTTTTCTCTTTTTTTTTCCCTTTTAATTTAGCCTTTTTCTTTCATTTTTTAATTTTGATTTAATTATTTTTTCTCAATTTCATAATCAATTATTTTTTGGCAATTATCTAGGTTGGTTTTAAACTAATCAAGATAATTGAATTATATCGAAACAACTTTTATATTATTTAATTTTAAACATAAGCTAAATAAAGAGTTAAGTTGAATTTTTTTTCTTTTAATTTTAATTTTTATATATAATTTTTTTTATTGATTAGATGAATTGTTTCTAAATCGGACAAATAGACTATATGAACTGGTTTGGTAACGAGGTTGCATTTTGTTTAAAATGCAGATGCAACTCGTTTGTTAAATAAAAAAACACATTTTACTGTATATGGGTCCCATATATTTTCACGTCCGAGATGGAGAAAAAAAAGAAGCAGCATTTTGCTGCTTTGTGCACACTGTTTACACTAATTTTAATTAGCATGAACACTGTAGAATACACTGTTCAGTGAACGGTGCAAGATATTTGCATTGTTCACTTGAAAAATAACGAACAGTGCAATTCACTTGCACTGTTCACAAACTTTTTTTTTAGAATGTTAATTTTATTAATATTTAAAAAAAACTAGTTTAGAGTAAATTAAGTTCATTCGTACTATGATGTAAACAATATTTTTTTCCCGGAAAAACTAGTATATAATGAATTAAATTCACTCGCACTATAATATCAATTTTATATCTAATAATATTTTATCTAATTTTATTACATGCTCAAAATATTATGAAAACTGTAGTTCTTATCAGATAAATTTTGTACGTAATGGAATTATAAATAGTTTAATGGAATAATAAAAAATATTTTATATAAAGTATTATTTATTTCATGATGTAATAGGAGTAATTAATTCTAGAATATTTAAATTTAAAACCATTAATATTAATATATATTTTTTAAAATTATTTTATAACCTTAATTTCAAAAGCATTTTTAACCAAACATATTAAACTACTTTTTCTTCAACTTCAATTTCAACCACAGTTTTAACCAAATATCTATTTTTTCAAATCAACCTCAACTAAAAGTACTTTTTATAAAATAACTTTTTTCAAATCATAACCACAACAGCTACCGCAATACCAAACACACTCTATGTCATGCCAAAAAAGAGTCACATGATTTAATTTTAAATCTAAGCTGGACATGAAGTCAAACTGAAATGTTTTCTTTTAGTTAATCTCATTCTTAATGTTTTTTACTTGTTAACTCAATTGTTTTTTTACCGGCTAAGTTGACTTGATTATGTTAAAACAATCCTTGAATAATTTGATTTTAAATTTAAATTAGATAAAAAATTAAATTAAAAGGTTTTAAAATTAACTTATTAATCTAAATTTAATAATAATACTAAATAATTTTTTTATTATATTTAAAAAAATATTAATTTGAATCATAGTTTACCATGAATTTATAAATTAGTACTTCCTCGACCCTTAACTTAGACTTTCAGCTCATGTATCTAAAAAAAACTTAAAAAAATAATCTAAAATCATTGCCCCACACACCATATAAATACGTGGAATAATTTAATCAAAATACATTAGTAACAAATTGACATAAAAAAATATTATGGATTGAATAAGTCCGAAACAGAATTTGAAATTGCTAAAAATAAATTATATATTATTATTGTTATTGTTATTATTATTTTTTGTTATCTTATAATTTTGTATTTTTTATTTAGATAATATTTTGTATTGTGATAGTGATTTTTTAAATTATTTTTTATTAAAAAATAGAAACAGAATTTGAAATTGCTAAAAATAAATTATATATTATTATTGTTATTGTTATTATTATTTTTTGTTATCTTATAATTTTGTATTTTTTATTTAGATAATATTTTGTATTGTGATAGTGATTTTTTAAATTATTTTTTATTAAAAAATATATTAAAATAATATATATTTTCATTTTTTAATTTATCAATATATTAATTTTTTTTTAAATATATCATAAAATTAATTTTAAATTCTTGGAGTAAATTTGACTTTGAACAGAAAATAACGAGTGAGTGACAGGACTTTCTAATTTTAGCCTCCCTCTATAAATACCAAGCTCTCTCCTGTTAATATCCACCGCTCAATCCTCTCTCTTTCTAGCCTTTCTTTCTATAGATAGATAGAAAGAAAGAAAGACAAGAGGGAGAAAAGCCATTGAATTGAACTCTATCCTTTTCTTCAAGATCTGACCCTCTGTACTTCAGGTACTCTCTCCATATTTGATCCCTTTTTTCATTATTTCCTTACGAAATTCTTGCTTGGCTGGCTGGCTCAATGTAATCGTTTTTATTTTTCTGGAGATCTATTTGGTTAAACACATCTCTTACTGCTTCTTCTTCTTGATTTGTTTTATAAAATGATTACTTGATTAGTTTTTGCCTTGGATTCTCTGATTGGAAAAATGTGGGTATTAAAACTGAGATCCAACTCCAAATTATTACTGAATTTCTCATTAATTTAGACTGCCACCATTGATTTTTTCTTGGGGTTATCTTTGTTGCTATGATTTGATTTCTGGTGTTTTTTTTTTTTACCTATTAATTACATCCCTAATCCAGCCAAACTTTTTGTTAATTGAAGCCATGGCAGGATAAAATCATACTACTATTCTTTTCGAAAACTAATCCGAGCATATAACAAAGAAAATCCGATATGCCTGTCTAAATTAATGTAATTGCTTGCTTGTTTGTTTTTTTACACAGATCTGTGATCCTGATTAGCTATTCAGAGCCAGCTAGAATGACCATGACCGTGACCAATGGGGAGGTACATGCAGTGACTGCCAATGGAGGCTTTACAATTGACAAGCCCTTCAAGATCTTTGTGGGTTACGATCCGCGTGAAGATATTGCCTATGAGGTTTGTCACCATTCTATTTTGAAACGATCCTCGATCCCTGTTGAGATCACCCCCATTGTGCAGTCAGATCTTAGAACGAATGGCTTGTATTGGCGCGAGAGAGGCCAGCTTGAGAGCACAGAGTTCTCTTTTACTCGTTTCTTGACCCCGCATTTGGCAAACTATGATGGTTGGGCGATGTTTGTTGATTGTGATTTCCTATACTTAGCTGACATCAAGGAATTGAGGGATTTGATTGATGACAAGTATGCCATCATGTGTGTGCAACATGATTATACTCCAAAAGAGGCCACAAAAATGGATGGTGCGGTGCAAACCGTGTATCCAAGGAAGAATTGGTCTTCCATGGTGTTGTACAATTGTGGGCACCCGAAGAACAAGGTTCTGACACCTGAGGTTGTGAATACCCAAACCGGTGCTTTCCTTCATAGGTTTCAGTGGCTTGAGGATGAAGAAATCGGTTCCATCCCATTTGTGTGGAATTTCCTGGAGGGTCATAACAAAGTTGTGGAAGGTGACACAACAACATTTCCTAAAGCAATACATTATACTCGTGGTGGCCCATGGTTTGAGGCATGGAAGAATTGTGACTTTGCAGAATTGTGGTTGAAAGAGAAGGATGAGTGCGTGAAGGAAGAGAAGAAATAATTCAAAAGTAGATATGATTCATCAGCTGGAGTATTATTTTTTATTTGCAAGGCTTATTTTCCTGTGTTCTGTTCATTTGTAGTGTGTATTAGCATGCTACCCTGTGCAGTCTTGTCTATAATTCTTTGCAGCAGCTAGTTAGTTAGCTAGTACATGGCCAGTTCTGGCCTCTGAAGACCTCTCTTATTTCAGAAACTGCTGCTGTACTACGTATTAGCATTTGATTATTAATGAAAGTTGTGAGCATTTTTTTATGTGTTATGTGTTTTGGTTTTTTATATTCAATCTGTTTATTAGTAGTCGTCTTTCACTTCTGTTGTTGGTTCGTCGGGGAACACTCTAGGCTTTAGATTACACAGTGACACTAACTTGGGTTGAAGTTCACCTTAATTTGGTACTGCTTTCAATTGTTGGTCTCTATGATTTTGATCCACAACGAATCTTCCTACAAGATTTTCAATAAAATGGCTGAAAATCATGGAAGATATTCAGCCCTTGGTGGTTCTTTCGAATGAAAATTCTTTCGAAAGAAAATACTGAAACTCGTTGAAGAGGAATTCGATATCCTCTGCTACCATAGCTGGGTAAGAGCTGTCCAAATTAGAATCCATAATGCACTTAGTTAGCTAGGAAGCATTCCGTCTCAACAACGACCCTTCCCGCCCCCCACATATCTCTAGCTAAAAAAAGAGCATATATCTGCACGCTAGGAACTCTCCTAGAAGGATTGAATTCAAGCCTCATGGCTGATATCATAACTCTGCGTTAATGATCCCGAAAAATGACACCCAAACCACAGCACCGTGTAGATGAAGCTGCTTTGAATTGATCCTTATAAAACCGTCTGCAGGAGGCAACCATCTAGACAGCCCTTGATTGCAGGAAGCACAAGTATATGGATTGACCTTCATGTTATTAGCTCTTGGAATCCAGAGAGATTTGACACAGCTGTTTCAAGAATGTCATTGCTATTTATGCATTTGTCCAGGAACAATCTTTGACCGCAGGAGTACCAGATAGCCCCCAGGATCATAGAAATGTTTTCCATCGTAAGGACCTCAAGTGGAAGAACTTTCCTTGAAAACCAGCTGAAGTCATCCACAAAGTTGCCTAGAAATAGAGAATTTGGCTCATAATCTTTCGCTGCAGGAAATTCAAAGAACAGATGGAGAGTTGATTCCACATTAATGTGGCATATTCTGCATCCATGATCGTGAAATCACCCCCTCTTGAAAAGTTTTAATTTAGCAGGTAAAATATCATGTGGAAAACGCCAAATAAACTCTCCTTTGAGAGGGAACTAGATGATTGCTTCTTCGCTGGAAGTCGGATTAAATTTTTTAATATAAAATAATATTTAAGTGTTGATAATTTGTTTTTTAGAAAAAAATGCATGTATGAAAATTGATTTAATATAATATGGTTGATTTGATAACTTTTTAAAAAATCTGAACATCTTTTTTTAAAAAAAAAAATATTGTAACAACAACATATTAGATTGACTAGAATCAACTCAATTAATTTATCAAATCTGCTATTTAAGTCATGAGATGCTAATAAAAAAATATCTAGGTATCGTTAATTTATTTTTTAGCAAAAAAAACTAAAAATAAATGAGGATTGATCTAATATTATATAATTGACTTTGCAAGTCTAAAGACAACTTAAATGACCGATAAATATGTATTTTGACTAAAATAAATCAAAATGATATTTTTTTTAATATTAAAACAAAACCATATTAAATTGACTTAGATCAACTCGGGTTAACATACAAAATTTGCCATCTAAGTGATAAGATTCTGATAAACCTATAGAAAAAATAAAAAATTATTAAATTTAATTTTTAATCAATTTAATATTAAAATATGAAATTAAAAATAAGATTTAACTAAAAAAATAAATCAAGTTAACTCAAGTTAATCTACCAAATATAGGTCATAAGATCCAGATAGCTCTATAGAAAGCAAATAAAAAAAATTATAAAATTTAATATAAAATAAACTAAATATTAAAAGATAAAATTTACAAAAATCAATTAAAAAACACAAAAATAATTAAATCAACCTAACAAATTTAAGACCAGTCAAGAGACTAAGATAACTTTACAGATTAAAACAATTTATGAAATATAATTTCCAATAAACTTAATATTAAAAGATAACATTAAAAATAAAATCAACAAAAAAAACTCTAGATTAATTGGCTTAACTCATTACCTGGGTCATAAAATCGTAATAATTTTATAGAAAATAAATAAAAAATAAACTATAAATTTTAATTTTTAATTAACCTAATATTAAAGAACAAATATTGAAAGATAAAATTTACAAAAATCAATAAAAAAAGACACAAAAAATAATTAAATCAACCTAACAAATTCAAGACCAGTCAAGAGACTAAGATAACTTTACAGATTAAAACAATTTATGAAATATAATTTCCAATAAACTTAATATTAAAAGATAACATTAAAAATAAAATCAACAAAAAAAACTCTAGATTAATTGGCTTAACCCATTACCTGAGTCATAAAATCATAATAATTTTATAGAAAATAAACTATAAATTTTAATTCGTAATTAACCTAATATTAAAGAATTAATTAAAAAATAAAATAAAAAACAATTTGAATTAATTTAGGTTAATTTACCATAAAAGTTTATGTCAGATGTTGACTTTTTTTAATAATATTTTAGGGTTTTGACATATAATTATAATTTTTTTATGGTTAAGCTATGGATAAAAAATTATTTATTTTATTTATAATAATTAATTGTAATGAATCTTGTACACGCATTTCCTTTTATTTTCTATCATTCGAAAAAATAAGATAAATAAATGTGAAAATAAAAGTAAGGTAATTATATAGATACCCCTAAAATACATGAGTATACAAACTTTTTTATTTAATTTTTTTATCACTGAAACATTGAATGAAAGAGGAAGAAAAATAAAAGAAAGACGAAGCGAGGGTTAGATAAATATTGTTTTTATTATTATTATTATTATTTCTAAGAATGTAAAGAAGTAATTTGGGAAAGAGGTATTCATAAAGGAATGGATGTAGACGTGCTAGGCACGCATGTGGAGCAGGCTATTTGAACCATTTGTCTCCACGTGTCACTCATTAAAATGAGAGTGCATTGAGATTGCCTTTACAGCAATGACAGGCTGTCTCGTAATCTGTTTTTTTTTTAATGGCTGTCTCGTAATCCGTTGACTGGTCTATAAAACAACTCTTCTATCAGACTGAGATATTTTCTCATACTTCATGAGTTTTGTGTTTTCTTAAAATTTCAAATTTTTTATTTAAAATAATTTTTTATTTAAAATAATTTTTTATTTAAAATAATTTTTTATTTAAAATAATTTTTTATTTTTTGAATTATTTTAATGTATTGATATTAAAAATAATTTTTTTAAAATAAAATAATTTTTTTAAAATATTTTTAAATAAAAAAATACTTTGAAGAGCTAATATTATTAATATAATAGAGGTAAAATATATACCCAGGATAAAAAAAACTAATGTAAAATAGCTTTTTTGTTTATTTTAATCAAATTTAAATGAATATTTAATGGTACAAAAACAATAGATGTGGACCTTTAATGCCGAGGATAAAATATGCATGTACAAATCTTCAATTGGACAAAAGATAATAATAAATAATTAATAAATAAATAAATAATGTAAATTGAGAATAAAGTATTTCCTAAAGTTTTGTCAAGGAATACAAATAAATTCATTCAAATATAGTATCAAATTTTATTAGATTATCTGAAATTATTTAAAAGACATAAAACAATGATGAAAACTATAATTTTAACAAAAATTACAGCCCCTCTCTTACTTATAGCCTGCCAGCCATGGATGAGAAGGTGGAACTTTCTTTCTATTTTCTTCCTTTCTTTCCCAGCAAATATCTTGTATATAAACGAAGTTTAGGGCATCACAAATGAGATTGATAGAGTTTAAACACATAAAAACAAATTTTAGAGTGATGAAAGTAAGAGTTAGAGAGAGAAACCAAAAAAGGGGTGAAAGAAATTCACCCATAGGGTTTATATTGAGCACAAAATCATCTATGGGTAAAGTGTTTTACACCACTTCTTTTATTGTTGATGATATTAGGAAAATTAAGCAAAAATCCCTTAACTTTCAAACTAGGTTTCATGGTTAAAATAGGAGGAAATATAAAATTGATTAATTTGGGCTTAATTTTTAAATTAGGATTATTGGTTAAAATTATGAAAAATATAAAATTGATGTAAATTGATTAATTAAAGATGAAATAGGTTAAAAAGTACATAAATTCTTTAGGAATTAAAGAACGAACTTCGTGATTCATGGCCTAAGGCTGGCTAAATAGGGAGACAAAAAAGAGATTGGCTTGTTTGGTATAAATACTTATTAACTAAATGTAATTTATATGTCTTAACTAAATGTAATTTATATGTATTATTATAATAATGATGTTTAGAGGGCGAATGGATTACCTTATCAACTTTTTTTGAAATTTTTGCATGCTTTGAAATAGGATTTCTTGACATAATGGTGACAAAGTGTATCTATGATATCGTTTAAATTAGTATGAGGTGATTAATTACTAGTTAAAATCATGAAGAAATTTAAGGAAAATCATGGAAGAAAAAAGAGGCCCTTGGGGTCGGCCAAGTATATGGTTTCTGGAGAACTTGAATAATTAAAAATAAATATTTGAAATTTTGATTATTCTTGTAGTATTAATGAGATGGTGATGGTTGGAAAAGAATAATTGATTTTATATATTGAAATTGAAATTAGAGTGTTTATTTATTAGAAATTATATATAGAAGTTTAAAATATGGTTTTGAATAGTTTTTTGTTTGTAGGATTTCATGAAGAAGAGATTTGTTGGATTATATAACACTTGTTTATTATTTTGCTAAGAAAGTGTGAAATATGTTAATATTAAATAAAAAGTGGTTTTACTTGAATATTAATAAGTCGATTTGAAGGATTTATTAATTGGTGTTGTATCTCTTTTTTGAAATAAAAAGAAGTATTATGAGCTTGACAATTAATGGGAGGAGTTAAGTTTATCATAGAAGTAGGTAGATGCCTTGCACCTCATTCTATTTAAATCTTATTATTTTTTCTTTAATTTTTTTTTAAAATGTTGTATCATTGTTATTGTTAATTGAGTATTGAAATGGAAATTGTGGAATTATATTTTGAGATGTAATTAATATATGACTAAATTTTAAATGA